TATATCCACCATGACACCCGTATTGCTTTACAAGTCTGTCCTCTGATCAGGAGCTCTCTGTGTTATGTATCCTTGGTGTTTCACACAGTGCCTGGCATATAACAGGCAATTAATAACTATGTGAGGGAGGAAAAAAAAAAAAGAGGCRAAAAACCAAACAAGTCCACAAGGAAGAGAAGGCTGGAGGGAGAAAGAAAACATCTGACTCAACCTTGCCTGAAATAAACTTAAAACAAYTCTGGGGACAGAGACTGACAAAGAGAAAGGGCCTTTCCGTCTTCTCTGCCTTGTGCTCTTCTTTCAGCTGTTCCCTTTCACACTACAACTGTCCCATTTCTGCTTCTGGCCCCTCAGTTTACCCAAAGGGAAGGAAAGAGGCCAGATAGGTTTCTAAATTCTTTAATCCCATCCCTTCAGACCACATCTCTTTTCCACGGCAGGCATCTCCTCCTGGGCCTCTTTATCTCCCCATAACTTACACAATACTCTCACCTCATTGCCCTGGAGAGGTCATCAGGCATCTGGGTCACCTATGCTGTCCAGGTTCTGATGGGAGCGTCTGTCTCTCATGGAAACCAAAAGACTCTCATGGAAAGCCTAGTCTCTAGGCTGGAAACACTAGACTCAGCCTACAAAAATTGCCTAAGAAAGAATATTATGAAGAGGCATCCCAGGAATGGCAGTAGAAAGGAGCAAGTGCTAGGAAAAGGAGAGCTGAACAGTTCCTCCCACACRCCTAAGCTCATGGATGGCCTTTCCCCATTTTCTCCTCAATCCATGGATTAGAATTTCTTTTCTAACTATCCTACAYGTATGTCTCCTATGCTTTGCTACTGGAGCTTTTGTTTTGTTTTGGTTTGGTTTGGCTTTATTTTGAGACAGAGTCTTGTTAAGTTGCATAGACTTGCCTCAAACTTACAATTTTCCTGCCTCAGCCTCCTGRGTAGCTGGGATTACAGGTATGTGCCATTGCATCAGGCTTTGATCTTTTCTTTTTTTCTTTGGTGCTGGGGATGGAACCCAAGGCTTCATGAATGATATACCATTGAGCTACACCTGAAGTGTCTACTGAAGCTTCTTAACTCTTCCCAACCAGATGCACTTCCCCTACCAAGAATCCCTAAGCCTTGTGGAATTACTCCTGGGTTGCCTATTTTACCCAACTATTCAGCTGCCTGGGCTTCCCCAACACCCTTTCCTCAGTGGAGATYATATGTACAAAAGCAGTTTATGAGCTGTAAAATACTGAATGAGAATAAAACATTATCAAGAAGCCTTCTCTGTCTCTCATCATAATCTCTGTCCTTTCCTTAAGATATTCCTTATCCCTTCCTCCCCTGATACACTGCTGCTCCCTCTTCACCCAGCAGGTTTGGTTTGGTGCAGGGTGGGAACCAATGCTATGTGCTGCACCGTGGGGAGTGTCAGGATGCAGGCAGGCATCTCAGCCCGAGGCCTTGGCAGAGTTCCCAGGCACATCCATCGGCCCAGGCCAGGACAATAAGCATGGATAAGGTGGGAAAGGGCATAGGTACGGTGGCTGTAGCCTCCTAATACCAGTAGCTCCCCCTGGAGCACAGCACCTGCAGCACCCACATGGGGGGAAGGCAGGGGTGCTAGGYGAGTCCAGCTATCAGTCCTTGGCTCATAAGCCTCAAAGCTCAGCAAGTCCCCGGTCTCACCCAGTCCACCTGCCACATATAGTCGTCCTCCCAGAGCAGCCATGACATGGCCAGCCCGAGGTATGCCCATTGGGCTCAAAAATGTCCCTGGTTTCTCAAGTTTGGGGTCGTAGTGCAGCAATGAGCCCAGGTATTGACCAGTCCCATTACAGCCACCACTCACATACAACTGGCCCTCCAAGATGGCAGCTGCATGGGCAAAGCAGGGTGCCGGAAGTGCAGGTGCTGGCCTAAGGGAGAACAGGATATAAGATCAGGCAACCAGCATCTTCAACTCTGCTTCTACTCCAACTCTAATTTCTCCCTGATGGCCCCCTGCCTGCTTACCTCCAGATATTGAGTTCAGGGTTATATGTTTCCACAGAGTTGAGAGCAACACCATTGTATCGTCCACCCAGGGCATAAAGTTGTCCATCCAATGCCATCAGGGGGAAAAAACTCCGAGCCTGGCATAAAGGTGCCACCTCCTCCCAGTCCTCTTGACTGGGGTCCCACCTGGGCACAGTGGGACAAGAGATGGAAAGAATGACTCTGGGAATCTATAGTTAGTTGGGTCATCAATTTCTCTCACCTGCCCACCTTGGGGCCTGCCACACCCTGCCCATTCTTAGAGGACCATACCTGAGAGTTGAAGCCAGAGTGTTGGAGTGGCTGTAGAAATCCTGTCCCCCACACACATAGAGTTCACTTCCTGCCACGCTTGCAGCCCCATGCCGGAAACGACCTGGGGCAGGCAGGGCAGGCAGCCGCCCCCACTCCACAGTTCGTACCAGTCCCATGCCACAGTGGAAGGCCCGGGCCCAACACACTTTTCGAGATGGCTGTCTTCGGGCCATATCAGGTCTGAGCTCGTCCCCACCAATCACCACCAGTGCCCGGTCAGGTTCCCTCCGCCTCTCTTGACCTGGAACCTCAGACTCCACCATCAGCTGGTGTAGCAGGTCTGGGGGCAGGGTTGGGGGTAGCCCAGCTGCCCGCACCTTCCTCAGCTCTCGGGTAGACATGCGGCCAAAGCGGACACATCGCAACAGGGCCCTGGCCTCTGACTCCTGGGTCTCAGGGTTGGCAGCTAGCCAACACCGTGCAGCCACAAAGGCCTCAAACTCTTCTTGGACATGAAGCTCATCACTATCCAGGAGCTCAGCCAGGAAGGCAGCTGGTAAAGAAGGGAAAGCAGGGCACAAAGCCACAGCAGGCAGGTGGGTGAGGAGGTAGTGTCGGGCTTTGCTCCAGAGCCTCTCCAACCCGGGGGCTTCAGCCATGGGGAACAGGGCCAGGCATCGGGCAGGGCTGAGGTCTCGTGCCAAGGCTCTCTGACATAAAGCCAGGCAGGAAGAGCTTTGGTATTGCAGAGCAGCCTGGGCAGCTCTCAGCAGTCCTAGCCATCTTGCTCGAACAATTCCAGAGTAGGCAAAAGAGACAAGGAGTTGCAGGTCCTGGCTAGAGATGGTGTGCAGAGACACCTCTGTGCCCTGGGATTCCCTCATCCCACTCAGGAGCATAGCCCCAAAGAACTCACTGCCACAGGCCAGGGCTGCTCGGTGCACTGCAGGAGAGAAGAAGCAGAGGAAGACCCAGAGTGTTACAAGGCACAATCCTAAGTTGACAACCCCAAAGTGGGCCAACCACCCAAGGCCACAGGCCAAATTATGGTGTGCACTGGAATACCACAGAATGCCTGTTAAAATGCAGCCTTCAGTGCCCAACCCCAGGGATTCTGACTTAGCAGATCTGGTCAGATTTATTAGGAAAGCAGATATGCTTTCAAGGGAGAAYGCAGGATATCTTGGGGAGACACATCTTTTGGAGTAAAGTAAGAAATACATATTCAAGGGAGGATGCAGGMCATCTCCAGAGGGAGAGACAGCCAAGAATTTGAATTTTAACATTTTAAGCCTGGTACAATGGCACATGCCTATCATCCCAGCTACCCAGAAAGCTGGGACAGGAAAATGACAAGTTTGTGGCCAGCCTCAGCAACTTATCAAGACCCTGTCTCAAAAAAAAAAAAAAAAAAAAAAAAACCCACAAAATATTTTTGAGCACCCTGCATGAGTCTCATATTCAGTGTGGCTTCAAGATGCTTTAATTTTTTGGTTCCAGGTGAGTTAGAAAACAAATCCTGATGGATCAAGTTATGAAGACAACGTCATAGACAGTATTTTCTATAAGGGGGCACAAAATAAACTGAACAGACMAATGTGCAACTTATATAAGTCTCTCTATATTCACAGAATAAAGTTCTTTTCTTTACAAATGCAAGAGCCAGTGCCATAATCCATTCTGTTAGATTTTGCTGGAAAAGTGGTACAACTCAAGAATGGCTATAACCCAAACCCATCTGACTGCCATCTTCTCTTGCCTAAGATTTAATGCTTAAGATTTCCCATGGGTCCCAACTTTCCTCTGTACTTCCCTCTGCTCATCTTGGTATAGTCCATGAAATCACAAGATTTGGAACATCAGTCTTCAAAATCATCTAATTCATTTACGTGTTTTAAGAAAAGGAAACTGAATCTTACAGAAAGGATGTTATTTATTTTCTATTTCCATCCAGTGGCTGTCTGGGCAGATCATTACCATCCATTGTCACTGACATTAACCTGCAACAACCAATCTTGTGTACCAGTATTTTGGTTATCTGCATGGCCTTCATGACTATGAAACTGTCCTATTAACAAACATTGTCAAATATTTAACCTAAATCTCATTAAGCCTTTAAATCTAAAGTCAAGTTTGTAAGAAATTTAAAAACTAAAGGAACTAACAAAATAAAGCCATAAGGGAAAATCAGGAAATAGAACATTTTATAGGATAATTAATCTTGTTTCTTCAATATACTAAGTCATAAAAATGTGGAGAGAACACTCAGCTAGATTAAATGAAATTTAAGAGACATATGACTAAATACTGTATAGCCCTTTATTGATTCTTGGGTTGAATAAACTAGCACATTTTTAGGATCTGGGAATATATAAATGTGGACTAAGTGATTTTTTAAAAATATTTATTTTTTAGTTGTAGTTGGACACAATACCTTTACTTGTTTTTATGTGGTGCTGAGGATTGAACCCAGGGCCTCAGGCTTGCTAGGCGAGTGTGCTACCACTGAGCCACAACGCCAGCCCCTAGGTGATATTATATTAAAGAATTATTGTTAATTTTGTTGGGCATGATAAAGATATTGTAGATATATGAAAAGCAGGTTTTTTTTTTGTGGTGCTAGGGATTGAACTCAGTATGTAGTACATGCTAAGCATATGCTCTACTAGTGAGCCACATCCCAGCCCAAATGTCCTTCTTTTTTTTTAACCTAACCATTTATGAGAAACATGTCATAAACTTCCTTTAAACTTTAGAAAAAAATAGAGATGAAATGAGTAATAAGATGTTATTTGTTAAGTCTGCATGAAAAGTGTTTGACTTTTCATCTTAATATTCTCTTTACTTTTCTATATGCTTGAGATGCTTCATAGTAAAAAGGGGGAAATGCTGCTAGAAGTCCTCTCTGACAAGTCACAAAGGAGCCAAACTCTTAGTGAGGTTTATTAACTCCATGCTGTTTTGGCCCAATATGATGTATGTGCCTCTCTCAAATGGTAACTGATGTTGATATGGCTTTCCATTGTCTTTTTAAGCAGTAGGTAGTGGCCTAGCACTTCCCAAGAACGTCAGTGATAGTTTTCCATTATATATTGTCAGAGAATATCTACATTCTAAGCCACTCAGCTTCCATATCATCAATCAACCTGTAGCTCAGATCCAACTATGAAAGGGCTTACAACCACTTGTACTTATCATTGCCTCCTAACACTTTAAGTGAGGGGTTCCTAGACAGTGATAGGGATATATTTAAATTTCAAGCCCCAGTGAAATTTTTTTTATGAAATTTCAAAGTCCCCTTCCATCAAATGCTATCAGAAATGATAAAAAAAAAGCTTTTGGGATAGTTTTCTTTCTGGGAGTTCCAGAAACACTCTGGTCCCCAGTCRTTCCTGTACCGAGCAGTAACTATATGACTTTGGACATGTTTTGGGGTCTGGTTTCTTTGTCAGTAAAGAGCTGAACTAGATAATTTCTGAACTAATTCCTTATAACTTTGAACTTTTAAGTGTCACATCCATTTTCCAAGTCGTATGTATCTTGGTTTAACTGCAGAGGAAGTAATGCAAGGCCTAGTGGAAGCTGACTGAACTAATAAGAGTGAGCTTGTATTCGTGTTTTCATCAGCTAAGAACTCTTGAGTTTAATGTTCCTTATCTGCACCTAGGGGCAATGGTTTCTATCTCACTAGTTTTCAGTGAGAATTGAAAGAGATGTCATGTGTAAAAATTCCTGGTACCCTGTACTTCACTAAGTATTAGAAGAATCTGAATAATACTCAATTTATTCAACCCTACTTTACTTAGCTTTCCTAGTGACTAAAGTCAAAGTGCCATGACCTGCTAGCCTTAAGATTCTGGAAAAAAAAAAAAAAAAAAACAGTACCAAACCTTGCTCATTAGCTGCAGAACCCTTAAGTCTGCATGTTGTCAAGCACACTGTTGACACACTGTTTTCCACCCAATACCTAAAAAAAAAAAAAAAAAAACAGTACCAAACCTTGCTCATTAGCTGCAGAACCCTTAAGTCTGCATGTTGTCAAGCACACTGTTGACACACTGTTTTCCACCCAATACCTCTGCCTTTTCCTGTGTACTATAGAAGAAGCCAAGAAGGGCCTCTAGTTAATCTGTTTGAGTCAATCGCTTTCTGCTTGTTCTACTGCCACGGACTGTACCCTTAAATCCAGCCAGCTGGCTGAAAATTCCTTGTTAGTGAGCAGGAAAAAACCCAGAGCCTGAAGGGTCATTTTAAATCTATCCGACGCCTTGGCAAAACAACTGTACTGCGCACGCGCAGTTCTCGGTGACTGGCTGAGCGCCACAAGTCACCCTAGAGAAATTCTGACAGCAGTACCAAAATCGCTGTGGTGGAGTTCAAACCACCTGCTGCTTGCACACCATTTCTGTAGCATCTGCACCTGCAGCCATGTAATGCCCCACAGGCCCTCACCCCGCAACCTGTAGCCGTCTGCCTCCAGCTCCAGGTCACACCCGACGCCCTCTCGGTACAGAAGCTCTATGCTGCGCAGATTCTCCCTCAGCTCCTGTGCCTGGYTGAGCTTCTTTTCTTCTTCCCCGGCGTTTCCTGGTCCCTCGCATCTCCGCTGTGCCGCGGCCTTTACCCGGGGCGCCCGCAAGGCATCGGCCGCAGCCAGCACATCCCCCAATGAGGCGGGGCCCAGCACCCCTTCATAGGCAAAGGTCAGCACGGCCTCCCAGCCCCCCGGGGCCACRTCCAGGCTGAAGCCAAGCCGCGGCGCTCCGCCGCTCAGCAGCCTGTCTCGGAAGAGGCTGCTGACTGCGGCCAAGATYACCCGGTGCACACCATACACCCGTCCCCTGACTGTCACCTCTTCGTCTAWCAAGAGCCTGTGTTCCCGCAGCCTCTGGGCTTCTGCGAAGAACTGGCTCGGATGCTCCTTACTACACAGTCCTTCCAGCTTGGCTGTGTCTCCATCGTCTTCATTCTGTTCCTCTTCCTCTAGGAACAAAGCCGGGGAGGGAAGGTTCCCCGGGACCAGGGATCTGGGGCCATGCTCTTGCAGAGGAAAGGACAGTAAATCAGGATCCTCATCTGGGGAAGAAGGCCAGGAGTTTCTTTCAGTGGGCAAAGGGTGTTCAAAACCGTCCTTCTGCAGGGGAAGGGAGACGGGCTGCAGGTCCGAGGGATGATGTGCTGTGTCCAAGAGGCTCATGGCCTAGGTCTGCTGGATTGCTGCAGGTGAGCAGGCAAGAGAGAAGGTTATCTTAGCTGTATCCAGAGTGACCAGAGGTACCATGGCTTCACCTCATGGAACTGTCAGTCCCTCCCCTGTTCCAATCACCCACCCCCCACCCTAAGGTGACACTCAAGTCTAGAGTAGTGGGCTAACCACTGCCAAGCATGGGGTTTACCCAGTGTAATGAGCATGCAAGAAATGTAAAGATCCAAGACCAGGGACCCAACCCCTCCCATCTTGCCCCCATCCTTTTAGTTCCCATTAGGAGACACCAGCCTTCTATTTGCTCTCTCACTTGAGCACTCTACTCTCTCTGCTTGGGACTGCTGTGTGCACAGGGAACTCACCCTTGTCCCAGTCAGTAGCCCCACCTGGCTAATTATAGCTGGTGCAAGAGGGCTAAAGGCTGGGTTCCCAGTGCCCAAACTCTGACACCCAATCTCCTGGGTTCTGTCCTGAGATGACTCCCCTACCCTTCCACCTGTAAGTCACTAGGAGGTGCTGAGTGAGGGGAATTTGGAGGCCAAGGAGCATGTGGGCATCTGGTAAAGTGAGCCAGGCCAGAAGGTTGTGGCCACCCAGTGGGCAGTGGAGTAGGAGGCTGAAGAGTCTGGACTACACTGAGTTGGACAAGAAGAGTGTTTTAAGTTAGTCCTGGGCTTTTACTGATGACTCTTCAGTGCATGATAAACTTGGGACCCTGGAGCAAACAATACTGATATGAAACACAAACAGCCTGGCCTGGTCTGCACAGGGCAAAGGAGAAAGGGTTAGTGAAGTGATGGGGGTGTTACATGACTAGGTGCCTCACCTTGGCAGAGCAGAGCTTCTTCTGTATTCCAAGGTGAGATCCAAAAACCTAGCACTGTGTTTTTGGAGACTCTAACCTGGACCACTGGGATGARGACAAAACAAGGGGAATGTATGGGGGACCAGTGTCCTGGGCTGGGTATACACAGGTATTCCCAGTGTTTGAGGTGGCACACCAACAGCTACTCCCTTCTTTCTCATCCTGAGATTGAATGCTTGGTTGAAAATCCTAAAACAGGATAATCACTTTGCAAGGTAGTTCTGGATATCATCCTGGGGAAAGAATTTAGGAAGAGGACTGAAATGTATTTCCCTTCCCCTCTCTAGGGAGTCAGGATGGGCCAAAGGCTGCTAGGGGTGGATGCCCTCATCTATAGAAGGGCTGGCCCAATCTTGATAGGCTGACCAAAGAAGCAGACTTATCAAGGGAAAGAAATGATTCAGGTGAGTGCGCTCTTATGGGGATGGAATGGGAAGGTGATTTTACCAATACTGCATCCCCTCCGACTTCTGGAGTTGTCTCTGTTTCCCCATTTACAGCCCTCATACCCTGGTAACCAGGGGTAGCATTCCTTGGGTAAGCCTAATCCTCAGGCCACACTCCCCAAAATGGGTTGACTTAGAGAGGCAACTCTTGGTAACTAGGCTAGGGAAAGGGAAGATAATGACCACTTTCTATACCCTTTTCCCCAGACCAGACATTCCAGACTACCTGTAGCAAAACAATGCGGCCAGCATCTTAAGCCATCATCAGTAAGTGGAGGAAATACATTTCAGAGACATATCTCTAGCTGCCCTCTGGTTGTCATCTGCCTCTAAGGACAGGGACTTTGGATCCAGCTATGAGTGGTATGACAATTCTACAGTCCCAGGATATCTGTGCCACAACCAACAATTCCTGGAGGCTCTGTGTGGCTCCACCATGGTAAGAAAGACCCATGCCCCACAGAGAACTCTCAAAGATAGGAAAAAAATCTGCTGTCTGAGCCACCACTCGTTTCCATTAAAGCCTGGGACTTCCCTCCTCCCCCAAATCCTTCCCGTCACCATGCTCCTGGTTGCACAGCGGTCATGGCATTTCAGTCATGTCTGTACAGTCTCAACCAGAGGACAGCATAACTTCCACCTCTGCAGAGAAGTCCTGTGCCAAGCCACACTCTTGAGAAGATGATCCAGATAATTTCCGGGCCAGGACCGGCAAGACGCCAGAACACTTTGGCTGGGTCATGAGGATCATGTTAAGACTAGAGCTCACGATTTCCAAAGTAGGGTATGTAGGTTGATGAGAGACTTTGTTCCAGAGAACATAGAGGATACTTCTGAGCAATGGAGAAGAGAGCTGGAGAATTAGCGTGCACTGGAATGACCTCCTCCCTCACTTCTTTGTTCCACAGTTGTGCTATGTGCTCATCTTCTATCTGCTGTTGCCTTGGATGACTGCTCAGGCAGACACAAGTATGAGCTCAGAGCTCTGGGAAGTAGGAAGGGATTTAGGGAACACGGCCTGAATGAATGAATTCTCATTCCTACCCAGGGCTCACATGGCTCATCATCCTGCTCTTGGCCTCAGTCACTAAGATTAGCACCTTGCCTATAACAGGCATCTCAGCCAATGGCAAAGTGAAGGCTGGTGAGTCTGTTGTGACTGTTATCTCTCAGAGCCCCCAGTCCTGTTAGGAATCTCTGAGATCACAGACCAGCTCTTCCTTTCTCTTCTCCTAGGTGGCACATATTTCTTCATCTCATGTAGTCTGGGTCCAGAGCTTGGCATTTCCATGGGGATCGTTTTTTGCTTCTGCCAACACTGTAGCTGTGGCTAGGCACACTTTGGGATTTGGATAGTGCTGATTCTTTCCCTCTTTGTACTCTGTCTCAAGTCTGTTGATACTGGAAGGTCTTACCTTGCACTGTGACTCCAGCTTGGGCAAATCTTTCAAATCACATGAGGGGGCATCAACTCAGCCAATAAACACTCTGTGGTGTATGCATTCTGCCTTTCCAGAAACACTGGGCACAGCAGCTAAACATAGATCCAGAAGATGAGCTACTGGTGGTTGGTGTGATGACTKTAACTATTCTTCTGAGAGTGACACTGGCCTGTATAAGTGGGAATCTAAGGCAGRTGCCAGAGAATTGAGGTTGATGAGGAGGCTGAGGGAATGACAGTGAGAACTGGATGGGGCTAAGGAGCAATGGGGAAATATGTGGGATTGTATGTGGGGGGCAAAAGCAGCTGCAGCCTGAATAGGCCAAGCTAAATAAGGAGAAGGAGCTGGTGAAGCAGATTCCCATGGACAGAGACCTGAAATTGGATGGTTTTGCTGGGAGAGACTCTATATCACAGCTCCTCAAGGGGAAAGAAAAGAGGCCTTATTCTGAGGATGTGTTGGGATGAGTGTTGAACAAGAGTGAAGGTGGGGGGAGGACAGTAGATAAGAAATATTATTTACTATTCCCGTATGTTTATAATTTTAAGATCTACCCCTCTGGCATGGGGAGGGATAACTTGCAGTTTAAGGGAAAAAAAGAAAAGGACGCCCATTTTGCCAGGACTCCTTTCTGGGAAAAGGTTGGTGGGAAAGGGAACTATAGGGTTGAGAGGAGCATTAAGCTAGGATGAGGAAAGTGAGGAGGGGGAGTAACTATCCCTCCCCTTCCATTCACATTTTTGCCTTTCTTTGGTCAGGTCCAAATTATTTTCTTCTTCCTGATCCTCTTCTCATTCCTGGGGACACTCCTCTGCTGAGACCTCAGTCAACAAGCCACTAGCTTCTTTGGGTAGAAGGGTGAGACAGTAGGAAGGTGGCTGAGAAATTAAAGGGAATGAATGCCTCAGAAAGTCACCTCCCCTTGGATCCCAGAAAAGACCCTTGACTTCTAATTATCTTTGTCACTTGCAAATTGATCATCACACCAGTCAGAGTCATCTAAGTCCTTGGATGAGTTAGGAGGCAAAATTCCCTCCTTTCTAGCCTAACAACTCACTGACTCACTGGGAAGGAGATAATGAGGATCCTAGCTGAGTGAAGAGAAGTCAGTAACTCTCCTTGCTGTTCTTTCAAATAGGAAATATTTTCTTAGCATATGTGGTCCCAAAATGGCATGGTCCAGAGGGCAGTTTGAGGGGCACTTTGTCTAGATTCTTCCTTTAGCTCCTGGAGTCCTGGCTGGGGCCAGTCCTCTGGGAACCTCAAGGTAAGAGGCTATCCAGGATAGGGGTGCATTCCTTCTCATCCTTCACTCCACGAATGGTGCAACTTTTGTTCTTAGTACCCTGCTATGGTTATCCCCAAGGGAGCATAGTGTGCACCATACTCTTCAATTTGGGCATTTGTCACCATCAAGAAAGCCTTCTGCCTGCCTTCTGTGCAGAATGACCTAGAGCCCTGGTTTCTACCTCCCCAGAGGACTAGGG